CAGTTATGTAAGCAAATCCAAACAAGTGTTTGTTTATGTTCAAAGATAGAAACGACATTGATAAAAAAAAAAAAGAGCTCCTTATCACCAAAAATCAAATAGATTTAGATTGATAATGTCATAAATATTGGAGAAAAGAGTTGCTTTGTGGCAATTCCCATAGTTACCTTACAATGATTTTCATAAGACAATTTTATATGAATACTTGGTAAACCTAGCCAGTTACATGGATCAATATCATGGGCATGTGGATATGGGTCATGTAGGCTTAATAAGTTAGTATAAAGATGTTATTACAGTTCGGTTTTAAATAGATTTGAGAAAATTATGTTTTAATTATTCTACCTACTCGTAATCGATTTTATGGATTTGTACTTTCTCAGGTATTTGGACTATAACAAGATGGAGCAGCACAAGAAGAAGTACCTTAATAATTTTACTCTTAAGTATGGGAATCAAACGGTCGATGAATTCATAAGAATCATCAAAAGAGATGAACAAGTCATAAGAGCATGTTACGCAGAAACAACAGAATTATCAAGTCACGAATTCGTTGGAATGATGCTCCTCGATTCAGTTTTCATACTGGTGTATTTGAGTCAAGTCGGACCTCGATACATCGAAAACACAGGAGATTTTGTTTTCGACGAGCCTTGTCACCAAAAGACAATCTTTGAAGACCTAATCTTGCTAGAGAACCAACTTCCTTATGCCCTTTTAGAAAACCTCTTCGAACCCTTTTTCATAAAGCTTCAACTTAACTTTACATTCCGTGACATTACCCTTAGAGCTTTTGGCTTAGAGGAAAACATAAAAAAAGAAGTGAAATTTCTACATTTTACAGATTTGGTTAGGCATGTCCGTGTCGAGACGCTTGGTCTGACAAAAGAAGAACAGATAAACCAAAAACTTATGAAAAAAAATATTATAAAAAGTCTTCACAATGCAGACGAGCTAGACAGTGCAGGAGTCCAATTTAAAGGGATTGAAAAAGAAAGAGACACATCGTTGGTGATTAAATTTGAAGGTGGAATCTTGACAATGCCATGCTTAATAGCAGAAGATGCCACCGAAAGGATCTTACGGAACATTATGGCACTTGAGCAATGTCATTATTCTTACACAGCCTTTGTCTGTGACTACATCACTTTCTTAGACTTCCTCATTAACACCGAGCAAGACGTTGACTTCCTCGTCGAGAAAGGTATATTAGTTTCATCTTCTTCTTCTTTTTATATAACGAGGGTGACCGGATTTATAACACCTGATTATTTTTTTGGGTGAGTGTAGTGGGCTTAAACCATAAAATCATCTTAATTGGTTAAATAGAAGTGAAAATGTTCGTATGGAGAATCGAATTCAGATTGAAAAGATTTATTTTTTCTTTCCTGAGTCCTTTCACCAACTATGGCGCCATATATACTAGTTTGTTTGTCTAGGTTTTTTGGTTTATATAATATACAAACCGGTCAAAGGAAAATCTAATATCATAGCTTGATAGAGTATCGATTTCAGCTTTCTGGGCAAAAATGTAACTGAAAAAATAATAGATTTTTAAGTGTTTGTTAAATAATATGTATGTGTATAGTTTTAGTTCGTTTATATGAAGGAAAAGCAAATTCTTTTTCAACTAAGTTTGGGTTTTAGAACTGAGTGTTTTGTTTATAATTAGTTCATTTGGATACAGGAAAACAAAGATGACACAGTTCAATTCTTTGAATCGGCTATATAGAGTAAAATCTCTATAAAGTAGTACTAGAC